TGCTATAAAATGCTAATGAGCTAATGTAGATATTAATAATTGTGACCTAAGAATATTGTCATTGGATTGATAAGACGTAATATTTAGTATTTATTAGTAACTGACAAATACATAGTTTATGGGCAGGTAATATCAAAAGATAATGTAATAATAATACTAGGTACTATTAAGTAGGTACCTAGTTAATTTTAGACATGAACTGTAAATTATTGTTATGACTCGACGAATGTGAATGACATAACATAATATAACATCTTTTATCCTCGAAGGGGTAGGCAGAGGTGGACATTATGCCACTGTACAATGTAACACCCACTTTTCACTATTTATGTTATGAGTCCCATGTAATAGGGGGTGAGCCTATTGCCAGACTCCGTGCTGCTACTGAGATTTTTTTTTAAACCCAGTAATACTATGCCCGTCCCGGGAATCGAACCCGAGACCCCTTGCCGCCAGTCGCACTTGCGACCACTCGGCCAACGAGGCAATCTGTGAATGCTATAAGCAATTATAAAAAGCTACTGTAAAAAACTCATCATTAATAAGTTAAACAAATTATAAACAGTAACATTTATATTTAGAATCCCAATTTAGTTAGCCACACCAACATTAAATAGTAAAAGTATTTTTTTAAATATTTTTGATAAAACAGCCAAGTCACAAAAAATATAATCTCTACTTGCACAGTGTGCGGGGGTCCTAATAGTGTTCATATCTGTGCAATCAACGTCACAGTCGATAGCGTGATCACTGTTATTAGTGCGCCTTTACACAATTACTTTTTAAGATTTAACTATATAGTCGATTTGGAGGGTACTGGCCACATATTTTCTACTTTCTTAAAATAAAATATTTTTGTTATTATTATTATTCCCAAAATTATTATGTTTTCGGCTTACACACGTAGTAATTCGACGAGGAACTCGACTAGTTCCAAGCCATGCTAGAGGCTCATATTCATGAGCAGCATTTCGCGACACGCGACGCGGCGACTGTCGCGCTGAATTCCTCGTCGAATTACTACGTGAGTAAGCCGAAAACATAATAATTTATTTAGTATGTCTCACGAAAGTTACAATGCAAATATTATTATTCCCTATTTCAGGCATTGGATGACAAATAAGCTGCAGGTGATTGTGGTTTTATTAATTGAGAAATAGTGATTTTGGAATTGATTTAGAAGTGATTGATATCCAGATAATTATAAATGTCTCGTATACATTTATTTTGTCAAGCAACTATAGTAACCAATGTGAGTTTTAATTCAATATTTATAGTTAAAAATGCTGAGCGAACAAATTATAAGAATTTTCGACCTTTTAATTAATGGCAACCTCAGAAATCAATATAATATCTCTTTCATTAAGTAGCATTTAAAACACTTGACTACCGAGACAAAGAAAATCATTCATCACATCAAATTATCAATAAAAAACAACTCAACCACCATTTAAAACATAACATTGACAATATCCACAATCCATAAACATCATTAAGTCGTAAATAAAACACAAATCGTGGGGCAATCCTCGCCATCGTCACTACAGTGCAACATCTCCGCACGACTTGGCCATACTCTACGAGTGACGCAACCGAACTGTTCCTAAACGTGAACAGTTCACACATTATTTTGCTTTAATTTACTTTACACAACCAATTATAATGGTATATTAGAGCTTTTTCTATTTATTTACGGGGATTTGTTTGGTCTCTTTGGATTATTGTTATTTGTCCTACTATCACAAACATGAAAGTAGAAAGATGAAACTGTTGAACGAATCACTGACATAGACAAACAGATGAATAGTCTGGAATAACCACAGAAGGAATATCTTGCAAACAACTAATAGATTACTATCTGCTATAGAATTCAATTATAAATTGAGATCAAACATAGTTAAAATATGAAATTAAAATTATCTTACAGGTTTGGAGTTAGGAATTGTGTGTGAAAATGGACCATATGACATTAACAATTATCATAAAAATAACGAAGCAAGTTTTTATTTAAATATCTATAATATAATATAATCAAACCGAGTTGAATCTTATTTGAGACTTTACGAAGCATATATATATGGAAATACACCTTGTTTCTAAAGGGAAGTTCTTTGTCAAAGTGACAGAGCATATATAAATGTTCTTTAGTTTCTGTACCAATTTGAAATGTCTAGAAGCTCTAAAATAAGTAGGCTGATTAAATCGTTGCATTTATTAGTTGCGTATGAAACTTAATTTAATGATTTTCTTCGACAATTTTATTATAACTGGTCAATACGAATATTAAGCAATTATCTTAATAAGAAATTTCATCTTTTAATTAGTAGATATCATATTATACGTTTATACGATTCCATTTTAGGGTAATTGTATAAAGGGAATATTAAATCAATATAAAACCAGATTATTAAGTTTTGCGTAGTTTATTTAATTTACATTTCGATCACATAGTGACTCCATTATATTCTATACATTTCTTATAAATATGTACAAAATATTTTAAGCGTAATGCGTAGTTTTTTATTTTCGGTTTTGTCTATTTGCTTCTTTACTTATCATAAATTAATTAATCTATCCTTGGTTTAGTATCTGTATCCTTCTTCAGGGCTGAAGCTTGGGGGCTGGCGAGGTCCTCCGAAAGTCTGACCAGGTTTGTCCTGTCCAGAAGTTCCGAAGCTAGACTGAGGGCTGGCTTGACCAGGCCTGTTTTGACCTACGGAACCGACGCTAGGTTGGACACCAGAAACTCCAGGCCTGTTTTGTCCAATAGGACCAAAACCGCCTTGGGTACCCTGAGAAGGACCAGCCTGAGATCCCTGCGATCCAGGGCGGTTGTATTCGTAACCAGCATCGGTCATAGCAGAGCTGAGACGTTGAGATCCAAATGGTCCCTGAGTGTTGGAGCCAGACACTGGGCCAGCAGCGCTATTGGGCTTAGGAAGTCCGAAAGAGTTAGTGCTAGGTGTGTATTGGTTAGCAGATCCGGTTGGCCTGAAAGGAGAACCTTGACCATTGACACTAGGTACCGCGCTAGATGGGGCATTACCAGAGAGTGATCCAGCTGGGCCTCTAGGATATCCTTGATCATTTGATGCTACGGGGAATCTTGCGCCTTGAGGGGAGGAGGAAGGTCCAAAAGCCTACTTTTGGACCTTCCTCCTCGGAAGCCCTAGGCTAACAGGGCCAGATGATGGTCCAAAGCTTGAGGTAGGGGCATTACCAGAAGAGGAAGACTGACCAAGTTGTGCAGAACCAGCAGGTCTCGATGGACCAAATCCTTGAGGCCTGGAGTAAGCGGGTCCCTGAGCTGGCGCCGGCTGGCCAAACTGTCCAGGTTGGTTGGGTCTGCCAAACTGAGCCTGAGGCCTGTTGTATTGGTATCCATCATCTCCTCCTTGAGCCGATTGTCCTTGTGTTCCAGCACGAGCAGGTCCATTGTTTCCTGATAGTCCAGCAGCAGCGAAAGGAGAGCCTTGGCTTCCAGTAGGTTGCGATGAGAAACCCTGGGGTCTGGAAGGTCTGGAAGAACCAGAAGGTGAAGAGAGAGGACCATCAAACTCAGGGGCGGGAGCTTGGCTGCCCTGGGAAGGATAACCTTGGGGTGCGGTGGGTTCAGAAGATGCAGGTGCATTATATTGGTTAACTGGAGCTCGTTGGGCTGAGAAACCTTGGGAGCCAGATGGTGAGGAAGATCCTGAGGCAGTAGGGGCACCATATTGATTAGTTGGGGTTTGGCTATCTTGAGCTCCAGGGGCAGCTCCGAATTGAGAACCCAAGTTCTGGCTGCTCTGAGAAGCTACACCTTGGGAGCCAGATGGTCTGCTTGATCCCAATTGAGTACGAGCAGGTGCTGGGGCATTGTATTGGTTAGCTGATGCCTGACTTCCTTGAGACGAGAAGCTCTGAGATCCAGATGGAGCAGCATTGGGAACATTGTACGAATAACCCGAGTCACGACCACCTTGGGAAGCTCCAACAGAACCAGAGAGACCAGCAGATGCACTGAATTGAGAAGAACCCTGAGGTCCGGATGAGGAAGGAGCAGGAGCTTGGCCACGCTGAGATTGGAATCCAGAGCTAGAAGGACCAGCTGGTCCAGACTGAGCTGAAACATCATATTGAGAAAGTCCCTGAGCGGCTTGACCACGTGTAGCCGAAAAACCTTGAGGGCCTGAGGATGCAGCTCCAGATTGAGAAGGAGCACCGTATTGGGAAGCAGGTGATGGGGCACTTTGGGATGAGAAAACAGATGCAGGTGCAGCAGCTGCAGATTGGGCAGGGGCACCGTATTGTGAAGCAGGTCCTTGACCACGTTGAGGTGAGCCATCTTGAGAAGTTGAGGATCCAGCAGGTCCAGATTGAGCAGGAGCGGCATACTGAGAAGGAGACTGGCCAGGTTGACCTTGGGCCTGGTACGCTGGAGAAGCTCCACCATAGTACTGCTGGGATGAGGGACCGGAGTCTTCTTCAGGGTTGTAAGCACCTGGAAAGTATTTAAACAAATGATTAGTTGAGAAAAATATAAGAAAAAGAGAATTAAAAATTAAATGCTAATTTTAGATGAACGAATTATCAAAATATGTTATTGCCTTACTAGTGAAAGTCTAATATTATAATGCTTACATTTTTAATTGCTTTTCGTTTGATTAAAATTGAAGACACATTAATTTGTTTTCGTAATTACAAAAGTGTGCAATAAAAAAGAACCTTATTAAAGTTGCTCTAAAATCGACTTCAGATTACAATTTTTTACATTACAATGTGTCTTCAGGCATAGTTTCAGTTTCATTCGCCTTTTCAAAATTAGAATATAACTTTCCAGCCTCCTAATCATCCGCAGATACAAGCATCTTAATATAAAAACCCTATGTTGTGGCACAAAAAACGATAAAAAACCCACATTCGCATATACAATAATAAATTACCAATATAATAGTAATAATGAATACATAAATTTATGATATAACTATTATATCGCCTCAACAAATATTGTTAATAAAAGTTAATGTTACCATCAAAAAGGGTGACCCTTCCATCAATACATATTACAACATGTTCTATTTACACTTCACAGAACTCATATGTAAGAGCAATACCCATAATGTACTAAAAATACAGTTCAAAGGTGCGTTATTGCTATTAAAAGTTAATAGCAGTAATTAAATTCGTTACTTAACATTAAATGAAGTAAATCGGATGGTAGTCAATGTCAGTCATGTACGAGTTACAAATCAAGCTATGCAATCCAGTATAAACTGATCGTCGACTGTGTAGAAAGATTATACAAAGCCAGATCAAGATAAGTTGGTTTCGTATTGTTCGATGTGTGGCAGCGTGTCCCACATGACACGACTATCTAAATAAATTGTAATAATGTTTCACGAAAAGTTTAAAATAATTGAAGTTCACGTTCATCATTATTTTTCGGTTACAACATGTTTGCTGGCTATCGATTCTCAACCTTTTGCGAAAAGTGATAGAGTTGAAATTGTATTAAATGAATAGCTGTTCAGGTTAGCTTGATGAGCTGTTGTCTGGACATCTTGCGTGTTTTTTTTTTCTTTAGGCAAAGGTATACACCCACTTATGCCAGTTATGTTATTAGTGACATGGATTAGCCTATTACTTTATATTATTTTAATGATCCCGTTGACGTTCGTGGAGTGTTTGTAGGCATGACTGCGAAATAGTCTGGAGTTTGGTTATTAAGTTCGGTAAAATAGAATTAGGGCTTATTTATTTAAGAAATTGTCAGTTGCATTTATGAGTTACGAAATGTGCCTGATATAGTGGTATATGGCATTAACATGGGGGTTATAAAGTTATGAAAATGGAGCAAATCAAATCTACTTCCTACATTTTTGGGAATTAAAGGGAAATCAAATCAAATATTACAGCACAACCTTCAATACTGAAAAAGTAGAACACACTTAGACAAAGTAAGCTCAAAATGTAAACAAACGGGGTGAGCTAAATAAAACCGTTTAAAAAGCCATTTTACATAGATGGAGACTTTAGCGAAATGCTTCAAATAACTTCCCGGGTAGCTGCATAATAGAAAAAATTTATAAGTCTGGATTAAATGATAGGGTACTTTATATCCCGGAAAAATTTGATATTCCTGAGGGAAAACAAAAGTATTGGTATAGATGGCGCTGTGTGTATTGGTATATGCCACATAGGCTACTTTTATCCTTTTGTGACGCGAGCGAAGCCGCGGGTAAAAACTAGTAACTAATAAATATGATTAAATCAATTTTAAGTTACTCTATGAATAAAGAAGTAAAAAGCTGCCAATATAATATCTGTTACCCAACTATATGCAAAATTACAATAGTTACAATAGGACCCACGATGTTTACAATAGCTGCAGTTGCAACAAGAAATAGATTGGAGGCTTTATCAAAGCGCAATAAATTATATTATCACTCAATCACTTGTTAGGACAACAATGAAAAATTCACACAAATATTACGACACAGACTTTGATTATAATTATTTAGTAGACAGTGGGTACAATCTATATTTTAGCCACACTAGGTATTTTTTTTTTTTTTTAAAACGTTGCCCCACACTAGGATTTTCTCCTATGTCGTGGGTGCGTTTACAAACATACAAGTTCACATACACTTGACACCCAGACCCGGAACAACAATTTGTGGATCACACAAAGTGTTGTTCCGTGCGGGAATCGAACCCGCGACACGTTGCACGGCAGCCGGTTGCCCAGCCACCGCACCAACCGTGCAGTCATTGAATTTTATGATCTTAGATCAATTGAAAGACAACTTACGGGCATTTTCTAAAACCTATCTATCTGTACACATAGATATTTTGTATGGAGCTTATGTTAAAATTCTATCTCAGGAAGCAAATCTACAGGTAGGTTATAGAAAATGGCCGATAATTATCACGCCTAAAAAAATCTCAATAAGGCAGGCAATAGTGTACATGCTGGAACATCTAATTTTCGCTAGTTATATTAAGAGTCCCGTGTAACATAAGGCATGATTACCATTGATGTATCCCCAAGCGGTCACCGGTGACCGCTCTTCACATTATATATTATAGTCTTTATTTCCAATGTTTAGAGACTACTTTTGTATAAATAAATTTAGGGGACGATTTTCAACAGGTTAAATGAGTAATTTAAGAAACATACTCTTACCTTCTTGCGTGCCAGCAGCAGCAGCCCTCGCGTTCTCTTCAATCGACTTCAAGATCTCTTCAGGAATGGGATGCGGAGTAGGCAAGTGGTCTCCCTGAGGCTGGTAGCCGTTCTCGTCAGCGGTGTAAGTAATTCTGTACTCCTGGCCATCATCACCAGTGTAAGCGAAACCACCCTGAGCCTGCACTCCGTTGGTAGCAACACCAGATTCTTCAGCAGAAATTCCGTTCGAAGTTTCAAAGGCGTATGAGAAGGTTTCACCGTCATTCTGGTTTTCGTATCTCAAGATTTCAGCGTTCCTGTCGATTGAGGCACGTTCACGCTCAGGTTGGGCCTGACCGGAGTATGCGTTCACATCTTGAGCTCCAAAGCCTAATCCTGCGTCCTGTCCAGCAACTGGGCCACCAACGGGAGCACCGAACTGAGATGTTTGCTGGCCAGCATTGGCCGAGAGACCAAAACCGGAAGGACCTTGGGCAGGAGCTGATCCTGTTCCAGAAGGAGCACCATATTGGGAAGCAGGTTGACTAAATCCTGAAGGGCCTTGAGCGGCTGCTGAGCCGGATCCAGAAGGAGCACCGTATTGGGAAGCAGGCTGGTTGAATCCAGAAGGACCTTGGCCTGGCGATGAACCTGATCCAGAAGGAGCACCAAACTGAGAGACAGGCTGGCTGAAACCAGAGGGACCTTGGCTAGGGGCAGCAGCACCACCAGCAGGGGCACCGTACTGAGGAGCGGGCTGTCTAAATCCAGACTGTTCAGCGTTAGGCTGTCCAAATCCAGCAGAACCAGAGGGAGTTTGTTGGCCAAATGAAGAAGGACCTTTAGGAAGGTCAAATCCAGGCTCGCTAGGGGCAGTTAAAGCTCCAGGACTTCCACCAGCAGTTCCAGCACTTGCAGGAGGCAAGTACGTCCTGTCCAATTTGTCAGCATAGCTGCACGCCAGTACCGATAGAATGATTAGCTGAAAACACAAAATTAATATAATTAGACTCGTTAGACGTGGGTAATGGGAGGTTATGAGTTCAAGTAATACGGTTTGAAGCCACAGATTTGTCATAAATTGTATAATATTGAGTCACAGTTAGAAAGGGAAGCCCTTGGTGGAGAAACGGGGCATCTAGTTTACAAAACACAACTTGATGATTGGGGTCAAAGTTTAATTTTAAAACAAGTTCAACTGAACCTATCAGTCAGTTGTCACTATGAAAAATTTCGTAAGTTCAAAAACTTTCACTGCAATCCACATTTATACGATTTTGAAATTACACACTGAAAATAATTTATTTTTATTTATTTCGTAAACGTATTTTTTTATTTTTATTTATTTAAAATATTATTTTTAAACTACTTTATATATTATTTGTTAAAATAAATATAAAATTTTAATTGATCGAATATATTACCAGCTTCATGTCAAAAGCTGTTGTGTTACCACGGGATGATCACTGAATGTGCATATCGGAGTAACTGCATCCTATTTATATGAAGTTAATTCGTTCACCATGCTAAGTTACTCAAAATTGTACTCACGGAGCTAACCTTTGACAGTACTAATAGTGAAGATTCCACATAGTATGTCTGTGTGTGTATACTCAGTATTACTCAATAACTCGATCAATATTACTGATACTCTAATTACTGTGAGTGTGTGTGCATGTGTGTGTGGGCCCATGTATGGTCGGATTTACTTTGTTTATTATAATTTGGAGATCCGCGGTGTTTGTCGGAGATGGTCGTGTGGGCGGAAGTGTTAGGGTTCTTTAATATTAAATAAAATTTCATGTATAGGAGAATGTATCAGTAAAAACAATTATGTTTTATTTTTAAATGAAATATACCACTCTAAAATTTTAATGAATCAAGTAAACCAATATGAAATAACTTAGTAAAATCCCACGACAACAAAGATGAGTCACCTAGTTTATTTTCTGTTGTTTGGAATACAATAATATCATTGAAATTATTGTATTTCCTCACGGTAGCGATGAGGAAAATGTTTTCTTTGATGCCTTATGATTTATTATTATTATTATTTTATTAAGGTGTAAATATTTTAGTTTTAAATCTTTTTTTATATATTTTAAGTCGTATATATTAATTTTTATCTTGTATTGTATACATTTAATTGTGTAATAGTTATTATTAATTCTAGAAAATAAAAGTATGGTAATCAAATTGAAATTAGTTTTTCAGGTATATTCATTACACATGATGCCTGTATAGACTATAGTATTAATTTAGCATTTGAGAAAGGCTCCAGGTCGTCTAGTGAAACCTGTTGCCTAGGGCGTTTACTAGTCAACAACATTATTAGTCCTAAGTACTATATGTAATAGAATATAACACTTCGCTCCTTTTATTAACTCGTTGAGTACCGTCATTATAGACACAATTAAAGAACAATAGGTTGCGGTCACCGGTGTCCTCGCGGTGTTTGACAGTTTAAACGAGTAATATTATATTATGATGAAGATGTGATAATAGAATTTTTTTGTCACTAGTATTATAATTGTAGTCGGGTATAGACTTCTGTTTTGAGAAGTAACTATAGATAAGCTTTAATATATTAAGCCATTTAACAAACAAAGAAAATTTTCAATGGTAACAAAATTAATTGTTTTAGGGCGAATTTTTCGATTACCAGATAATTTATACCGACTTCAAAAAAGGATTTTTGTTAGTACTAATAATAGGTAGTTATTTTTGGTTTTAAATGTTTACATTTTGTTATTAGTTTTTTGAAGTCGGTTTTTTAAACGCAGTTTTTATTTTTTTATTATTATATGAATAAGAGAGTAACGAATGGAGTTTCTTGTTCGTTCTATTCCACTCGAATCTACATTTGAAACGAGCACCTAGCTTCACCGACGGATAGACTGAAAGACTATTATTTTTTTTATATTTGTTGTCGTTTCAAAAGTACCAAATAATGAAAAATTAACGTTCAAAAGTACCTGAATGATAGAAATACCAAATAATAATTGAAATGAATGCTTGTTGAGTTTTGATGTCTGATAAATTTTTGTTAAGACGAATTGTGTCAAAAATTCAAAATTATTTCTCCAATAAGTTATCTGGCGTTGAAAAAATCATCTGTAAATAAAATAAATGAGTAGTCGAGTTTTATAAGGAACCATATCGCACATTTAGTAAATACCTCAAGGGACAGGCAATTACTATTCATTACACAAAAATGTACTTCAATATTCACGGACAAATATAATTCTAATAAATTAATATTAAACGTGCTTTCAATTATTTTTATGTAAAAATAATAATATAACACGTCATCTGACTATTTATAAAACAATTTATAATTAAAAGTTATAATAGAGAAAAACAATTTAATAGCATTTAACATAGGTAACTGATTTTTATAATTACTTTACAATTTACACTGTATATAGAGGTACTACGTGTGTTGTAGAGGTATTGTACATACTTGATAGTCTTTTATTTTTAATTACTTACATATTTTTATAATAGTTTCTGAGTCATTGTTTATCCGGGTTCAATATACTGAAGATCCCGTTTGTATTTTATTTCTGTACAAGATCCTCATCTTTAAAAATATATTTTCAATATTTTCAGTTTACCAGAGGTACAATATCCCATTCCAAATCCAGAATGGTGTTACGGGAATGTGTGTTTCAGTGTTATGGGCCTCATGTGACTATGAAAGACGTTAAACAGTTGACATTAAAATGACTCAGTAGTATGGTAGTTCCATTTAGGCGCTTGGCACCCGACAGAGTAGAAAACTCATTGTATGGGAATGACATTAACAAGTAAAAAATTACGTTAATCCCATATAAAAATAATGTTATTTAGTTTTCTGAACACTAAATTATATAGTTCTCTCCTCTATTGGTAGATATAGATGGCATTTGGCTCATAGCATACAGATTTGATAAAATGGTGTTAATATAATAATTGATAAAAAACAACTTAAAATATAAATAAGTATGAACTAAAATCTTTACACCTTAAAAAAAGTAATAATAATAAAATGCTATTTGGACCATGCTCCCGCTACTGGTCGGCTCCTATTTTTTATATTTTTAAATATTATTTTTTTTATTTTGTAAGTAGTATTCAAAAATGTAATTTATAGAGAATTTTAAATAAATATATGAAATAAAAATGCTATCTTAAGGCATCAAAAACAATATTTCCTATTCGCCATCGCATGAAAAAATAATGTTTGTGTTAGTATATCACTGTGCATAACATAGTGGCCAGTTATTTGGGGGATATCTATGTTTAGCTGATGATGGTGTTAAATTGATAATAATATAGTTGATAGATTTTAGAATTACCGTAACGTAACTTCCTTATACATATTAATTAGAGTATTATTAGAAGAGTTCAAAGTATACATATGTATGTATATAAGGAAATCAATCAAAATTAGACGATTTCCCAAACTATGTATATAATGTAAATGTATTTATTTGAAAATAAAAAATAAAATTATGAACCAATTTCACGGTGTCTAGACAAATCAGAAATAATAATCCCATTTTTTAATTGACGTATTTCATTCATTAAAAACCGGAATCGGACCGGCAACTATAGGGCTATATAACTAATGGGAAACAATCAGTAAAATCTTACTTTGATTAGAATCACCGAATACAATTTCGTTTATTGAGTTCAAAAACTTGAAAATAAATAAACTAAGTTCAAAGTACGGTTCATTGGTTACCGTAATTTAAACTTTAAGTTCATCGTCCAAATTGTCTACGATACTTACATAATACATATTTTGCCCCACGGCTTGGCTTGCGTGAGGACATGTTAAGATGTAGCGTGATCATAATAAGCTTCTTTAAAACATAATTGAAGTGTCAATTACAAAAATAAATAGTTCAATATTGTTTTTAATTTTGTCTCTAGTTTCGTCAGAGAAAGACAAATTAAAATCAAAAGACGGTCTTGTAGAATATCACATTTAGGCAAGAAGACCAGGAGAAGGGGGGAAAAGAATTGAACGAATTCTCCCGCCTGGGTGAGGCGGAAGGGAGTGTCAGACTCTTACTGACTAAAAATCACCCCGTTCCTAATCCTGCACTTCGAGCCGGAGCCCCGGTAACCCGTTAGTTTCTATGCGACTCCGTATCGGCCAAATGGCCCTATTGGACCCAATCCGTGGTGGTCTAATGGCTCTTTGAAGTGCGCGCGGATAGCGACGCGCCGTACGCTCGGGAGGAGAATGAATGGTATGATAGAAACTTATGAAGTATGTTAGGATCGTGTTAGGTGGCACTCTGTGGATTCTGCCTACCATATGCGACAACGATGCGATTTTACGTTCGTTTAGGTTTTTTAATGTATGCTTCTATTTATTGATTTCGATCGATTGCAAGCACCCGATTGCGTCACATAGCTTTTTGTAATAGTCAGTAGCTGGTCATAATTTCCAATAACTATAGTTTAAGTGGTCATCACCATTATCATAAAATTATTTAATTCAACTATTAGATGAACAAACATACTCTCAAATTTTCCCATATTAGAGGTATCTTCTCAAACACATGTGCTTATCGAAAGGTAAATTATTTGATATCTCATTACATCTGAAATCATCTACAATTTACTCCATTGAGACATTTCCGCCGTTTATCGTATATATAATAATAATTTTATCAAAACTCTCGAGTAACTGGGAGGATCATGAGAACCTATGTTTCTTAATTCATTGCCTACCTATTAGAATTGCGATCTGCTTACATTTTAGAATGGGTTTAAAAGAAAATGGCCTTTATTGTTATGTCATAACCATACCACTATGATGATAACATGCTCCGAATAATCTCCGGAAAGAAGTGTAACTGAAATTAATATATTACTCATGACATTTAGTAGAACTAAACTATACAGGGTGTCTTCAAGGACCGAGTGAATAGGTTGCTTATGCGTCGACGTCTTCCATCGTAGACCGCATCATCACTACCACCAGGCGGGATAGAAGTCAAAGACGGCTCATCAACATATTTATCAGCCTTTTGCGCTGCGACGCACCATACGTTTTTTTTGTGTTTCTAATTTCTTATTGTGTGTCGTAGCAAAATAAATGGTTTTTCGTTCTTTTCTTTCTTTTTTTATATTATAAACAACTCTTGTCATTTCTCTGGATTACTTACCACCAGTTGTTTCGTATGTGTCGTTTATAGTATAAAACAATAGAGTTTCGATTTCAAGACCAATTCAAGACAATTGTCTGCCTAACATAATATTATACTTTGTAGTGGACTGTAAATGTTTCTGATAATGTGACTACTCCATGCAAGCAAAGTCACGAGCGGCACCTAGTCTCAAGTATTTCACAAACCCACTACAGATACAGAACCATTGAATCGATCGTTCAATAACGACGCGTGATGAGTACTTGGTCAAAACCAATAAGTTGATCGGTACGGCAGTCCAGGTCG